TTGTGTAATAAAACAAACAACATGTATGTTTAATTATTATACATCAGGAAAAAATCACAGTTGACCAATCAATAGAATCAAGTCCGAGTGACGGTCATATTCCATTATTTTACATATAGTGCTATTTGCGAATAACCGTCGCCAATGTTGAACTGATAGACTAGAGAGAAATAAGCTACCCATTTCCAACTCTTGGCCTTCTCTTGTCTAACCGTATTGCACGAAAATTCTGGAATAAACCAACAAAACAATCAATATAAGAAAATTAAAAACACATATTTCTAGTCACTAAAATACATCCAAAATCACGTTTGTTAAATCACTGGTATAAAGCTAAGTCCAACAAATCACTAAAATACATCCAAAAATCACGTTTCTTGAATCACTGGTATAAAGCTAAAGTCAACATGTTTTCAATGACCAGAGTAAAATCAGTCACACCAAGGTCATGCCGATCGAATATCCATCGTTGACATGGTTAGTAGCCTATATGATCACCTGACTTATTAATTAGTGTTTATTTATTACAAAACAATAATAATTAGTGATTGTTTAGACTACATGGTTGTTGACATGGTTAGTAGCCTATATGATCACCTGATTTATTAATTAGTGTTTATTTATTACAAAACAATAATAATTAGTGATTGTATAGACTACATTATTGTTGTCATGGTTAGTAGCCTATATGATCACCTGACTTATTAATTAGTGTTTATTTATTACAAAACAATAATAATTAGTGTAGTCTATACAATCATGGTTGTTGTCATGGTTAGTAATCCCTTCTCACATCATTAGAAATACGCCCAAGTCACAGCTGTTCTACCATCTACCAAAATCACGTATTTTCGATCACTAATATAAAATAAGACATAACGTTTTAATAGCTGCACTAAAAACTAAATCGTGCCTGTTTAATGACCACAGTTAAACTGACAAAACGTTCGTCCAATCACAGTTTAACTAAAGTTATCTATGACTGAGTACAATAAATAAATGGTTGTAAATTCCGAGACCGATGAACATGTTTCATAATTATCACTAACCTTCGATAAAAACAAGCTGCTTAAATAGATCAGAACTAAAAATAAACTTACTAATTAACATAGATACTTTAATATTTCGTTTTTAGTAGGAGCGTGCTACTGTTGTTAAGCACAAAGGGCTATTTGTTCTGTGCCCACCGCGGTTATATAAGCCTACAGATTTACCGCTGAGCTACTGGGGAGCGAAAAGTACGCAAAGCCATAAAATAAAAACGTAGCACGATTAGAATACATTCATTCGTCAGTTGGGTAGCCTCGCTGTTAGCGATATTTTCTGCCTTCATACCAATAACTCACGGAATTCAGCCAGTTCAGGAGTTTTAAGTTAGTCTTAAATCCAAATACTAAGTTAACAATGCAAAATAGTCATAAGAATGAATACCATACTGTAAAAATATATAAATCAAAATCAAATTGAATAAATAAAAGTAATTATATGTATGTATTAAACGTTTTATTCAACACTGTTCATGAAGCACATGTTACAGAAAGAGAAGAACTTCATTTACTTACAAAACACGCATAACTCTTTTGTTTGTTTCATGCACTATTATCAATTTCCCGTCTAATGAATAGCACAGTAAACTCAAAGCTGTTTAATCTTTCCTAAAAGCGTCTATTGGCCAATGAAGTGTAGCTTTAATGCTTAACATTACTATGAAACAGGCCATTGTTTAACTATAAAGTCGAGTAGAAGGACGGCGCAGATAGTGTAGGAAAAAAAATAAATGAATGTTTATGAGACAAAAAGAAAAGAAATTAAATGAACAACAACATTGTTCAGAAACTAGTAAACATGATGAAACTCCAGTTAAAATAACCAAGTTAACCGGACTGTAAAACAAGACTGTTTTGGTAAGTATTCCATCAGATCCAGAAATCTTGAATCTGAAAAGTGAGGTACATGACTATGTAGGACAGGATCCAGGGATCACTTTGCCGAGCTGTATTCTTTGATCCAAGTAGTCTTTTAAATGTTTCTATCCACACCAGCCGCACGCTAATAGTCATGCCGTTTCACCATTATTTTAGTTCTTATCTCTCTCCGCTTATCCTCGTAATATTTTTTGGATTTCACTCAGAAAACGTCTTCGTATTCCTTGTTCCTTACCTGATATTGAATCGTTCTCCTTCTTTGCATCCTCAAGATCAGCACCACTCCGAATCGTCTTCGCTCTCTTCCTCATTTGATGCAAAGTCGTCAGATACATCCGTAAGTTTCCCGCTCCTGTACGCAGACGTACTCCTTTTTTTTTTTTTGGCGCCCGAGAACACATCTTCTGTCAAAGTTTCTCTAATCTCTCTTACGATTAACTTCTTGAGCAACTGGTGTGCCATCGTGATCGCATCTACGACTGCTACACTTATAACACCTCGGACATTTTGCTACTTTACATTTGCAGGTTAGCTTCGAATTCGACCTCGTTTCCATCTCAACAAGAGCAAATAATTAAAGATTCTTACTCGTTTCACATAAAGTTCTAAAATGATGAGTTTTCACAGATAATGTACTGCAACAACGCCACGACTATCGTCTGAATTAGGGTAAAAAATCCCCCAACTCTACTGACAAAAAACCAGTCATAACTTCCTTGGATTTTATCCAATTATAGATCTGCTTACACTTCTGGATTTCTCCTAACACAATGCATGTTCCTGCATAGAAAAAAACCTAGATATGTTTGCTACAAAGTGCTCTACTATTTCTGCTGACGCTGAGTCAGAGGTTGCTTAATATGAGCTGAGTCTAACTCAACTAATGTGGAAATAATATCGTAATAACATCAGATATCTCCTAAACTATTCGGGCTTTTTTTTTACTCAGCTGTAAACAAAATACCAAAATACTAATAAAAAAAGTAACGAATATTAATATATAGTATTAAAAACTAACCAAATATTTGAGAATTATAATATATTCCAAATTTTGTTTAGGTCTTGTAAGGAACTTACACATAAATTATAAACTCTATTTATCTCTCTCTCTAATAGTAGTGTAAGCTAATTGTATCACTGCTGTAATTAATTAATGTATAAGGACTAATAATTTTTGAATTTAAAAGATTTAATTTATGAATAGAAATAACATTTTGAGAAATCACTGTTTTCTTTCTTATAGAATATCAACTGTAAAGCCATCGGAAAATCACGTTGTACAAAATCTTCTAACAATCCAAGCTTATTTGAGGTAAGAATTTT